CACACCCACCCGGCACCTGACGATGCATAAGTGGGTTTTGGGTTGCAGTTTGGGCACTCGGTCTCTAAAAGGTTCGCCATCACTGGTATAGGGTTTCCTGCCTGAGCAGGGGGTTGGACTTGATGACCTCCAAGATCTCTTCCAACTTATTATTATTATTATTATTATTATTATTATTATTATTATTATTATTATTATTATTATTATTATTATTATTATTATTATTATTAACTGGGTTAGAAATCTCATTACAAGCTACAGAAGTCACTGTTGGGAGGGTACAATACATCCAAAGGGCAACAAGATGCCCAAAGTTATTCTACCATTGCTGCTCTCTTTTTTTTCAAAAATACCTAAGCTTTTTTCAAAGAGTACAGGTAGTCGACTTTACAACCACAATTGAGTCCAACATTTCTGTGATTCAGCAAGACAGTTGTTAAGTGAGTTTTGCCCCATTTTACCACCTTTCTTGCCACAATCCTTAAGTGAATCACTGCAGTTGTTAAGTTATTAAAATGGTTGTTAAGTGAATCCGGCTTCCCCTTTGACTTTGTCAGAAGCTTGTAAAAGAGGATCACGTGACTCCAGGATGTCGCAACTGTCATAAATATGAATCAGTTGCCAAGCATGCGAATATTGATCACAGGGCCATGGGGATGCTGCAACTCTCATATAAATGTGAAAAACGGTCATCAATTTTTCAGTGCCATTGTAACTTCGAAGAGTCACTGAAGAAATGGTTGTGAGTCAAGGACTATCTGTAAAGCAGACAGGGCCCTGCCATAACCCAACTGAGTCCACTAGAGATTATACCACATGTTTTAACAGGGGACTGTTGCATCAACCAGTAAAACAGTTCTTCCCAAATAGCAGCTGGTTTCAAAATTTAAGCATGCATCTTCTGCCCTGGATAAAGTGCCATGCCCAGATGTCTGAGTAGTGATGATTCATGTCCTCAGAAAGGAAATGAGAGGCTGTGTCCACAGAATATATTAAGCCAGTGATGGCGAACCTTTTAGAGACGCAGTGCCCAAACTGCAACCCAAAACCCACTTATTTATCACCGGGTGCCGGGTGGGCGTGGCCGCACTGGTCATGGCAGACTGGGTGGGAGGGACCAGGGTGGCGGGGGCCAGCCGCTCGCCATCTCCGGGGCATGGCACGTGTGCCCACAGAGAGGGCTCTGAGTGCCGCCTCTGGCACGCGTGCCATAGGTTCGCCACCACTGTATTAAGCCATAATTTATCTGACCCCAAATGGTTGCACCCACGCAAATGCTCCCTTACAAAGTGGCTCCCTTACAAACTCAGAAGGTATCACCTAATGGCCCTAGGCATTGTATAAACTTGGCACTCTGTTCTGATGCACTTACTGTTATAACTGTTCCACTGCAGAGCCTAAACTGGATCTCTGTGATCCGCTCCAGGACCAACAGAGACACCGAAACTCTGAACAACGGCTGATCATATAATTAGAGGACAGATCCAAACTTAGTTGGCAGTGGGTCTGCAAAGCACAGTCTTTTCTCTCCATGGGCCAACCCCAGTCTCCCTACTGGAACTTGGAACCTGGCAACCGATATCCCAGCTACGATTTTAAGAATCCCATCCTAAACTGATCGAAAGCCCCGGGAGCTCTCATTCTGATCAACCCCGGCTTGGGATAGCGGCGACGGAGGTCTGAGTTTTCCTTCGCCAGTCCTCCTCGGCCTGCAGCGTCCAATTCCTCCCAGGTACCGAGAACCAGCCCAACAATCACTCCCAATAGTCCCGGGTCTCACCAGGTCCGTCAGAACGAGGCGAGGAGGCCGCGGACACGCAGCAGTGTCCATCATCCTCCAGGTCTCCGCGGTCCGTGCCCGAGTAGAGCCGGTGACGCTCGGCAGCCCCTGGCAGCGGAGGCGGCAACAAGGGCTCTTTTTCCAGGCTGGTTCCCTGCTCCATGAATCACAACGGAGTCAGCCTACTAGGCAGAAACAGCGCCTGCAGCTCCTCATCTAAGAAAGGCGGCCTGGCCGCTGCGCTTCCGCTCCCGCTTGTGATAAGCAGAAAAAAGGCACGGCTCCGCCCGCTACACGTGATGGGGGCGGGAGGAGGGGAAATAGAGCTTTTGGAGCGGTCTTCTGCTCGTGCGACCGCGAGTTGCGGTTTGAGGTTGGTGATCGTCGGTGGCGTGGTTGACTGTTCGCTAGGAACTATCTCTCCGTCTAGCAGTGTTCCAATATCTCAGGGGTTGCCATAAAGAAGAGGGAGTCAAGCTATTCTCCAAAGCACCTGAGGGCAGGACAAGAAGCAACGGGTGGAAACTAATCAAGGAGAGAAGCAACCTAGAACTAAGGAGAAACTTCCTGACAGTGAGAACAATTAACCAGTGGAACAACCTGCCTCCAGAAGCGGTGAATGCTCCAACACTGGAAGTTTTTAAGAAGAGACTGGACAGCCATTTGTCCGAAATGGTATAGGGTTTCCTGC